CCAAATCCTTCTCTTCTGCTCTAAAAGATATTTATAATTTGTTTGTGATTAATTGAAATTTGCCTGGGTATGGGAGCAGTGTGTCTTGTAAGCTTTGATCCACTGACCTATCCACTGCCTGCTCCGTTCCTTTTGGAAAACTATCTTCCTAGAAGATGTTTCTGTGAGCTCACACTCTCACCTGGTTTATAAAACAGCGCCACAATGCTACACATAATTTATCATACCATTTTCTTTATTTATTAAGGCCTTCAGAGGACATGACAGGTGGTGTGAATGTACAAAGAAGGCTGCAAATCCCTTTGTTCACTTGCTTCTGTTTGATAACTTCTGGGGTGAACACTGGTTGAAGCTGTGGTTTTAGAAAATTACTCAGTCTCCGAAATACTGGCACTAACAGATATTTTCTAACCAAAATGAAATCTTTTTTTAAAATGTAATTAATGTCCACTAAAACCAGCATAGCATGATTATTCTAGCAACTTGAATTTGAATATGTGTTAGTTTCTCTCATCTATGATCTATGTCTCTCATTGATTGGGTTCTTAGACATATTAGGAGCAGATTACACCTTCTGAAAATAAACTAACACTTCTATCCACTTAAGTCACCCTTTTCTTCTATTTTCTCAAGTTTATCTACTTTTCTTGTTTTATTCCCAGCCACCTTTAACATTCTGCATGCCTTTCTGTTAGAAGTGTCTATTTGTTTCTTTTTCTTCTTTCTTTCTTTTTTCCTTTCCTCTCCTCTCCTCTCCTCCCCTCCCTTCCCCTTCCCTTTCTTCTTTCCTTCCCTTCCTTCTTTCCTTCTTTCTTTCTTTCTGCGAGAGGGTCCTGGCTCCTCTCACAGTGGTAGGGATGAGAGATGAGATTGACTGTGCTGTTTGGCTGGTTTATTGTTTTTGATTTGCACCAATGGGAGTCATCAAGGAAATAAACACATTGTGTTCCATTTAATATGCCTCTGTAGAGGGATCCTAATTTCTCATGGTATGAGAGAAGGCATGTTGTCCAGTTCTTTCCCAGGGAGCACGTCAATGAAATGGAAATGTATAAACATTCCAGAGACAGGGACTTGGTGGTTTACCGCCTGCCTGAATTATAAGGCATTCTGGTGTTTCCAGGACCACTCTGAGGCTGTAGTAGGTGAAGATTAACTTCTTGTGATTTTGATTATATTTGTTTCCTTTTGTTGTGGCAACAGATTACTATAAACTTCTCAACTTACAAGAAAACAACCTGGTTAATTTACAGCTCTGATGGTCAGATATCTTACAAACAAGGTGTTGGCAGGGCGGCCTTCCTTCTGGAAGTTCTAGGGGAGAGCTCATTCCTTCCTTCTTCTGCCTTCTGGAGGCTTGTGACCCCTTTTCTTCCTCAAAGCCAGTAGGCTCATGATTCCAACTTCTCCTTCTGTTGCCACATCTCCTGTCCTACTGAGACCCTGCCTCCCTCTTATAAGAACTCTTGTGATTTCATTGGACCCACCCACATAACTGAAGGAAATCTTCCCATCTCAAGAGTGTTAACTTACACCTGCAAATCTGTTTTGCCATGTAAGGTGATGTACTCACAAGTTTTAGAGATTAGGATATGCACATGGTGGGGGTGGGGTGGGGGTGGGGGTGTCCATTATTTGTCCCACCACATACCTGTTCATCAAACAGCTGTTTGCTTTTTACTGTTATTGATGTCAATCATGTGCACATTGTAATCAACTGGACTGTAGCATTTTTGAGAGCTATTTTTACTTTTTTGGGTCCCTCTCCACATAGAAGCTACAACAACCATGCTCTGATGAATCCACAGAACAACATGGGTCCAAATCCCAAGCTTTGTTAATCCATGCATTCTTTGTGCTTGATGGAGAGAACCTACTGGGTTTTGAAATCTTAGGAATCATGGCTGATACATTTCTGAGGTGTTGTGCCTACCAAAGACATAAGGCAAATCTAATCCTCTGGATAAAGATCTCAGCTCCACCAAATTCCAACTCTATCTCTCTGCTAACATCTGATGGTTCTGAGAGCTTGTAAGAGTTGCTAATGAACCTTCTCCTGGCCAATTTCCACAAAGCACCCTTTCAGAACACTGTATCAGCCAAAAGAAATGCGTCATCCACTGTTAGCATTAGTCGGGATGGAAAATGGTTTTTCTACTGAAATTTTAAGAAATGATACCTGTCCAAAACAAAAGTTCTTTATTCTCTTGGTCTCTGTACTTCATCAAAACTGGTATGGAGAGAGCAAGGGAAAGAATGAGCGATGAGGCTGGTTAGGTGGCAGGCACCAGGTGTTGGTCATGGCTTGTAAAACATAGGGTTTTCACCCTAAGGACAAATGGAAGAATTGAAGGAATTTAGGGAGACATGGAGAGGAGGGTCAAGGAGAATTCAGGTCTTATTTCTGGATTTTTGGGGACATGAGATGGATGACAGCTCCATATTGACATGGGAAACAGGAAAAAGAAGAGTTTGGAGACAAGTTGGAATCTTATAGTGAGTCACCCAAGTGAAGATGACAGTTGGGACTGTGGGTCTTGAGGTTCAGGAAGGCTAGATTTGCTGTATGGCTTCATAACTCCGCAGTAAAGGTGATAGCTGGGGATTCTACCTGTGAGAGTATAGAGTTAGAAAAGATGGCCTAAGACAGAGTCAATGAGCACAAACACTCAAGGACAGGCACAGTAAAAGCCTGCAAAGAGACCAAGGAATGGTGAGAGAGGGTTTTGGAAAGTCAAAAAAAATTGCTGACATATTAAAAAAATTTGTACCAGGCTGAGGGTGTCACTCAGTGGTAGGCTGGGTGCTTAGCCCTGAGTCCAATCCTTAGTGGTGTGTGTGTGTGTGTGTGTGTGTGTGTGTGTGAATGCACACCCTTCATAGGGTTTTGAAGTTCAAATGAAAAAATGAATTTGAAAATGTCTTGTAAAGTGTTCTATCAGTGATTTTCTAATTTTTCTTTAGTGTGCACAAAGTCTTTCAAAGGGCTTGTTAAGAACATATATTGTTGTGCTTCTGATTTTAGTAGTAGTTTCTGACTCAGAAGATCTGGGATGGGACCCTTGGAATTTGAATGTTGTGTTCTTAGGTACAGCTGACTTTATTGATCCAGAACCATTGTTTGTGAACTACTATGTATTACAAATGTAAGAAAGCATGGTTCTGATTTTACAGCAAAATTCAAGGAGCTTTCTTTCTGTATTGTCTGTTTCCTGCTCTAGTGAGATAGAAATTTCTTTACCTTCTTCCTGCCTAGCAATATCACACAAGCAAGATCGCTTGATTGCTTACAATAGTGAGGTACGACTTGAGTTCAGCTCAAGAATAGGAAAAATAGGTGATTTTTCTTGAGAAAGATAAGAAGGAGCTCTTTGGGGTAAGAGGCAGTATAAAGCCCATTAGATGCAAAATGCTACTTACTACCAACTTTCAAAAAATCCCATTAGAGACCTTGTAATTTGATCCAGAGGGAACAGCATGAGGGGAGTCAGGGAAAAGGAAAAATTGACCTCATTCTTCAGTCTTTTCCGAAAGCCTGAGAAATGTGTGTGCCTCGACACTCCCTTTTTCAATCCCACAAAACAGGGAATCAGGAAAACGCATTAGCACCCTAGTACAGAGTAGGAACACAGAGGTGGGGGGAACTCAGCCTCCTCAAGACAAGAGGAAACTGGGGGAGGGGAGAGAGAACTTCTCCCTGTGGAGAATCTGCAGTGCGCCCTGGAAGGAAGGGAAGTGGGGAAAGGTACCTCAGCCTTCAGCCAGACACTGCCTCTGGGCATGTGGGAAAGTGAGGGAGGAGGCCGCGATGGGAAGAGTTCCTGCGGCTGTTTTGGAGTGAGGATCAGGAGAGCTGGAACATTCAGCTTCACTTGTTCACTTCTGGAGCCTATTCCTCCATTTTTAACCTGGATAAAGAAGGGGCGCTGGGCTGCGTCTGTACAAGCCAGAGTGGCCGCCTTCCGCACAGCGGACCCCGCTTCGGCCCCTGGCCCAGGCCAGAGAGGTGGCCTTAGGGGACACTGAAGTTACTCTGTGGAGGGGGGAGGGGTCGCCAAGCTATTCTCCAATCAGGGAGGCTGCCCCAGCTCTTTGCATACATTATGCTAATAGCAGACCTCCCGCTCAGCTCCCACCCAAGCTCCCCCGCCCCCTCGGGGGGGGGTTGTCTCCCGGGCGGCTCGCGGGCAGGGCGAAGGTGAATACATTATGCTAATGAGGAAGGCTCCCGCTTTGGGCTGGGAGGGGGCGCAGGGCCGCGCGCGCGGCGGGCGGGCCGCGGGGCGCGCGGAGGGGGTCGGGGGCGGGCCGACGCGCTCGGAGCGCGCGCGCACTCACAGCGAGCATCCCGAAGCGTATTTAAGGCTCGCACCCGCGAGGCTGCGGAGAGCCTCCCGGCGGCTTCAGCCTCGCCACTTGCGTTTGCGCCCTGGGTTATTGGGTTTTCCTCTCTCCTCTCCCCCCCACCCCTTCTCTGCACCCCTCTTGGGTTGCGCTCTCGCGGGCTCTCTCAACCCTTTTTGCCTTGAACTGAATCCAGGTGGGAAACAGGTCGGCGTGCGGAAAGCACGGAATAGGTAGAAATAAGGCAAAGTAGCCGACGCAACAGGTCCAGAGCTCCGCAGAGAGGGCGAGCGACAGCCCCTCGCCGGACCCTGCGCGGCCGCTCTCGGGGGCCTCGGAAGAGGTGTGCGCTGTCTGGGGGTCAGGAGAGCTGACCCGGTGGGTTTCATTCCCGGTTTCACCCCATCGTCACCCAGTCCCCGGACTGAGGGTGCTTTTCCCTCCCAGCTGGGGGGACCGAAGGAAACGGAGGATGGTCCACGCCAGCTGATCTCACGCAGAGCAAAGCGCAGGTCCATCTCTGCGCCTGAGCTCCGACTCACCAACTAGTTGTGCAGCCACAGGGACTGAACTTTGGAGGAATTGTCCCTTTTCTCTCCAAACATTACTGGAGGAGGTAGAGGGTGGAAGAAGCCGAGGCAGGCGACCCTGCCACAATGCTGGTGAAGAAGCATGCAGGGAAAGGAGGGGGGCGAGAGCCTGGATCGGAGGACCCGAGTCCCTCCAGGCAGCGTTGGGCCCGCACCATGCCCCCGTGCGCAGCTATGGCGACCCTGCTATCAGTGGTGGCCGTGATCTCTTGTCTGTACCTTGGGGTGAAAACCAATGACCTTCAGGCGAGGATCGCCGCTCTTGAATCCGCGAAAGGGGCCCCTTCCATCCATCTGCTGCCTGATACCTTGGATCAGCTGAAAGCCATGGTACAAGAGAAAGTGGAGCGACTTCTGGCTCAGGTGTGAGAGGTTGGGGTATTTTGCACGTGGGTAGATTTTGCACAGATGTGAGTCCGTGTGCAGGACCAGCTTTACAAATCTCACTGTGTGCGTACTGTGTTTGGCTGTGTGCGCCTGTTAGGCACGTGTGTTACTCTCACTGTAGTGTGTGTTGGCACACATGCCCTGATAACGCCAGGTCTGTATCTATTATCTTCCCTCATTTTTCCTTAACGTTTGCATGCTGAACATATATGAAGGTCTAAAAGGGGGAAGGGTGGCTAGAATGACGGCGGGTTGGGTGCATTTTATCTCTTTTCAGTTTTGTGGAGTATCATGTGATTCTCAGTTATATGGAAAATATTCCTTGCAGAGATAACATCTGTTATATGCTTCACATAAGACGGTTAGGACCATAATAACAAAAGATGATCATTCTTAAAAGTGAAATAACCCAATATACGATTTAAAACCATTGATTTCACCCACTGAATCTTTTCATATTAAACGTTTAACATACAAAAAAAGTTTTGATTTTGGTTAAGGCTGCAGTGCTCAAGTATTTATGAATGCAGAGGCATGGGATTGTTGAAAAGGACCAACCTTGTCTCTAAGAATGGTACAGATTGCAGTTAGGGGGGGTTGGAAGTTGTTCTTCCGATAGAGAGGCTGTTGGATAGCAGTTGACCTTCATTTATAAAGTATTGACTTGTTAGTAGGTCACAGCTTACCTAGAATTGCAACACGTTAGTGCCAGGGTTATGTATTGCCTGCTGTGTGCCTGGGTTGAGGGAGTGGGTGGTGGTTGAAGAATGGAGAAAGATGTTACAACAAATCCAGCAATCTTGATACCCTGTCAATAGTCATTTTCTTTTTTTAGGGCTTGGGTAGTGTTACCTTTTGACTAAGGTCCAAGTACTTATGTAAATGTTAGTTATGCAGGCTATCAAATGCTGGTAAGTCAGCCATAGGGCCAGAGAATCCCTAAAGAATCCCATTTTTCTATGGTGCTACTGATGGTTGTTAATACCTCTTTTTTCTTACAGAAATCCTATGAACATATGGCTAAAATAAGGACTGCAAGAGAAGCACCTTCAGAGTGCAACTGCCCAGCAGGTAAAATGGAAATTATTTAACAGGGTTTCTTCCAGAGCAGAGCATTTGAAAATAAAGGTCCTGTGTCTGTCAAGACTACCTGTAATAATAGTAAAGAAAGAATGCAGACCCAACTTGCTTTAATAAAGTCAACATGTCTCAGTAAAAAAGATGGCAAATAAAGCCCCAAATATTATTTTAAGCTGCATACCAAGGTGTGTCATGGGAAATCAAAGGAGTGAGAGGTAATCACTATGGAAAATATTGGAAAGTTCTTACATTCATAGATTGAAAAGTCATCTCTAATTTTATTAAATTATTACTTCAAAATTTATTTTATGTTTGCATTAGCATACATTAGTAACATAAGGGGATTTCATTGTGATAATTCCATACATGCAGACAGTGTACCTTGAACATGTTTACCCACTCCCTTATATGTCAATTCCCGCCCCCCTGGTCCCCCTCCTTTTCCAAACGGTGTTTGGTGGGTTTCATTATGCTGTCTTCTTACATAAATATATAGCATACTTCAATCTTCTTCACCCCTCAGTATCCTTTCCTCCTAATTAAATTATTTTAATGTTTGTGGTAAAAAGGTCTATAGGACTGTTAGGTTCTGAATTCCCTGGTGTCTGATGTCGCATTAGTGGTTTGTTTGTTGCCTTTGGCATTCAATTACATTAGTAAGCCACCTTCACTTTCCCTGCTTCCTTTCCTATCAAAAAGGTTCTCTCACCTATCCTGTACCTAAAGATGAAGACTAAAAAGAAATGACTTTTCTTGAGCTTCCCATTACAAGCTATTGCATTCTCAATGACTTCCCAGAAAAGGCTCTTCTATATTGACCATTTTTCTATGCAGTTTCAAGGAACTATGTTAATGACAGCATATTAGAAGGATGGAGAAGAGAGACACCAATGAATGCAACCCCCTGGGTAATCATTAAATCTTCTTCATTCACAGACCTCTGGGCCTTGGTAGTCATCTGTAGATGTAACAATTTTAAAGCTTTTGGAATGCGGCCATTGGAAAACATCTAGCAAGTTCAAGGATGTGAGCTGTAAAAACGCCCCCGAGTCTTGATGTTTTTCAGATAAACATCATTAATGCATTTATGAACATTACAGTGCCTTTCCTCATCACGCCTGGAAAGTATTTTACATTTTCTTCAAGGTTCAGGAAGATGATACTTAGCTATGATCACATGCTGTATAATGACTTTTCAGTCAATGATAGACCATACACACTATGGTAATACTGTAGTTATATGATCTAGTGGCTGTAGCAATTTTAGTTTGTGTAAGTGCACTGTATGACCATCTAACAAATGAATCATCTAACAATGCCATTGTCAGAACCTAGCGCCATTGCTAAGTGACACATGACTATATATGGAAAGGCTAATTACTATATTTTCTTATATTCTGAGATTTTATTCTCTTACAATAACTCATTTTGACACAGCTAAGCTGGCTACCATGTTCAGAAATTTTAAATGTCAACTCTAGGTTGGACAACACAAAAATCTTATATTTATTTTCTATTGCATTGTTGACCTTAATAGAGCTATATTTTTAAAATGAAGACTTTTGACTAACAAGATGTACAATAGGTAACAAGAAAACAAAGTGTTAATGTTTGATATTGTGTGTTTTATTCTTAGTTGTTTCAAGTTGAGAAAGACCTCAGAAGTCAGATATTCAAGAAAGGAACTTTTCTAGTGCAGGAATTAACTCATCAGGGATTATTTAAATTTCTAGGACCCTTGGTACATACAGAAGTACACTGATCCTACTACTTAGAGTCCAGAATTTTTTGTATACAGTACAAAAAGTACACTATCTGTGCGAAGAGGAGCTAGTGTCCAATTTGGAGGATTCTTAGTGAATTTGATATAAAGTTGGAAAGTGACCTCCATGGCACTGAGTTCTATTTTCTGAGGCGTTATTACTGCTTCATGATTAGTTTAATGTAGTCTAGTTATTGAAGGTCTAACTTGTCAACTGGAAGAAAATGACTGCATTTAGAGTTTGTCTTCTATTATCTTGGAGGATTATTCTGGATGATTTTTCATTTTATCATGCTAATTTAATAATAAATGGTGGTTTCCTTGGCTTTTTCTCCTTGGCTCTAACAGCTGCTTTACTTCTTTGCTACCACTAGAGCTCCATATTACATCAGTTTTTACCTGGCTACTTGTGAGGTAACCCTTGGAAGGTCTGCATCCTAACACAGAATCAAACGGTTCTTGCTGACAGATCACTGTTCCAGAAATACTCTGTTCTGCTTGTGGAATAATCACACATCACCAAAATAAGGTATTATGTTGAAAGTAGTGTCCTGGAGGAAACGAGCTACTTTGAAATATGGCCAATGAGGTATTGTCTTAGGGAATGAATGGGCTCTCCAAGAGGATTAGAAAGGAGATACAGCACTTCCCACCTGGTTTGGCTTTAACCTTGGTTCACAGTGACTAAAACTTGTCACCCAGACATCTGTTTGCTGGGCAGAGTGAGACAAGTCTGTGACCTCAGCTCAGTTCCTGTGGACAGATGCCCACCCCTTGAAGTTGACACTCTTGTTGACAGTCACAGCCCTAGAGCCAAGAGCTGGTACAAAGAAGTAATGTGTTGTTTGTGTTCACTCTAATTGCTTTTGATGGAACTCAGTCCCAGTGGGGTTTATCCAGGTAGGCTACAAGGAAATTGTAAAATTTATAGACTATTTTTTTTAAGTACACAGGAAGGAACCTCTGGGGGAGAAGGATGAGGAAGACCATTGAATGGCTTCTAATTATAGGAGATGTACTTTCTAATTTTCATAACAACTCAGAGTTAAGTACTAATAATCTCCTTTTAAAGATGAGTAAGCTGGGAGTCAGAGAAAGTGGTTAACATACTAAAGGCAAGATTAGGATTCATGTCCTGGGCTGTGGGAATCCAAAGTCTGATGAGGTAATAGAGAATTAGTATAGGTTTTGGAGCTGTATTGGAATCCTGGATCTGCCATTAAATAACGGGGTGACCTTGGTTAAACTAATGAGCTTCACTCTTCCGTTTCCTCATCTGAAAAAAAAAAGATTAATAATAGCTTCTTCATAATGTGATAATTTATATAAACAGTCTGGCATGTTACTGGCTATACATTAAATAATAATTAATTTTTTTGTGGTTCTGGGATCAAATCAATGCTAGGCAAGCACTCTACTATCAAGCTATACTCCCAACTCCTTTCCCTATTTGCATTTAGCTCTACTCTGGTCCACAGAGATACATGGTACAGGTGGGAAAAGAGACCTGGAAATGTTGTGTAACCTGCTCAGAACCCAGCGGCTAATTAATGGCAGGTTTTGAACTAAAACAGTATGCTTAATTAAATAGATATATCTGTAGATCATTCATGCAGAAATTCATACAATCAGTATCCCTTGTGGCTATATCAATGAAGGTTGGTTCTTTACAGATATTTATATTAGTCTCCTAAGTGACTTTTACCAAAATTACAGGGAAAGCTTCAGCTTTTTTTAGGTGAAGTGTGACGGAAGGAGACAGGACCTGGGCTTAAATGAGCATGGAGATAGTAAAGAATTTATGTTCATACACATATAGAAAGTACCTCAACCATATTCACCATCCATTATCCTCCCTGTCTTTACAGCTTTAATACAAGGTATTTACAAAAAGAAGCTTAACCATTGGACTCATTTTCAGACTTATTTTTAACAGCTCTATTGAAATATAATTTACAATATTTACTCATTTTAAGATTTGTAATCCATTTATGGTTAGGTAGCCATCACAATAGTTTAGTTTTATATTATCTTTGTCCTCCCTAAAAATTCATATTTACCTTTTTCATAGGCTCAGGCGAGCTCATGAAATTATTTTATTTAAAAAATTGCTTTTAAGAACCTTCAAAATAATTTAAAATCCTTACACATCAAAGCAGAGTGTTTGATTTAGCAGTAGCTGAGCCATCGACATAAAGCTAGCATTTGTGGCCTGTCTCCTGTCAAATCTGATTTTAATAGGAGAGGGTAAGTTCACTCTTTGCTATGACTGTAGAATTCTGTCTTGGGTTCTGTTTTTGGAGTCATATATAAAGTGTGTATAAACCAGGCACACTTCTATGTTCCAAATGATGATGAACAATGGGAACCAGACAGTCAACCAACATATTCAGATTACCTTACTCATTAGGAGTGTGGTGTAGCCTGATCAGAGTATTAAGTCATACGGTCCTTGGTGGAGAGTGAGTGGGAAATAAAGAATCCAAAGTAGTCCTTGTTTTGTCATTAACATGCTGCACAGTCTTGAGCAAATAATTTCCAGGTATGACTTTTATAACCATTTTCATATTGGAGAGTTAGACAATAATGATTTTGAAGGGCCTTTGTCAATTCTCCTGAGAAAACAAGTACCAAATACCAATCTAGATACTGGGAGAATGCTGATGTATTAGGCACACTTCATATCTACCCTCTTGGAACTTCCATTTTTAGGAGGATAACAAAACATTTATTTAAAAATGATGTTACATGTGTGATGAGCAATCAAGAAAAAGTACAGTATGCTTTGGAGTATGTGACTATTTTAAAAAATACTATAGTTTTAAAATTCTTTTCTCTGGGAGGTGGGAAAAAGAAAACTGTACCTCTCTAGAAATTCACCATAGAAGAAAATAGGATTCTTGTAGTGGATAAAGATCTGACTTGCATAGCTTCACTTGGCTTTTGGCCTTCTGAGACTTGATGGGTAGGCAAACCAGGTACTAGTGTACTGATACCTGAACTGATACTCGGACTGAAACAAAAAAGTGACTCTTAACATATAAGGGTTGTTGCAGACAGGATGATAGTTTATTTTTCTACTTCTTGCCTGCAAATAGTGCTAATTAGATTGAAGTAGAGGAGAAACTTCATGTCTGGGGTACTGAACAGTACCTGGACCCAGCTACAGAGCATTTGCTGTGATCATTAAATACAGAACAGCTAGAGATCTGCTTAGAGACGTTAGCTA